CCCCTGTCCTGCACCTACAGCCCCCCAGTGTGCATCTACAGGCCTATTGTGCACGTACAGACCCCCATTCTTCACATACAGACCCCTGTCCTGTACCTACAGACCCCCATCCTGCATGTACAGCCCCCAGTGTGCACCCACAGCCCCCTGTCCTGCACCCACAGCCTTTCATCCTGCACCCACAGCCCCCCAGTATGCATGCACAGCCCCCGGTGTGCACCCACAGCCCCCCCAGTGTGCACCCACAGCCCCATCCTGCACCCACAGCCCCATGCTGCACCCACAGCCCCATCCTGCACCCATATACCCCCATACTGCACCCACAGCCCCATCTTGCACCCATATCCCCCAGTCTGCACCCACAGCCCCCCAGTGTGCACCCACAGCCCCCCATCCTGCACCCATATCCCCCAGTCTGCACCCACAGCCCCCTGTCCTGCACCCACAGACCCCTGTCCTGCACCCACAGATCCCCATCCTGCACCCACAGCCCCCCAGTGTGCACCCACAGCCTCCAGTGTGTGTGCAGAGTCCCTGCCCGGTGTGGGTCACTGTTTTGGGGGATGGCCCTGCTCTGTGCCGGTCCCGTGTGGGGGGATGGGGTGTGTGTGTGTGGAGGTGGGGGGGACCTGGAGCATGGTGTTGTGCGGGGACTCTGTCCCTTCCCTGTGCCATTCCCGGTGGGGGGGCGGCGGTTTGTGTCTCCCGGCCCGGTCCTGGTGGGGGCGGGGGGGGTGTGTTTTTGTCCCGGTTACCGCCGGTCTCGGTAGGGAAGGTTTGTGTCCCCCCGCCTGCTGCCGGTCCCGGTGGTCCCGGTGTCCGGGGGTGCGTGTCCCCGCCGGTGCTGCTCTCGGTGTGGGGGTGGTTTCCGTCCCCCTGACCGATACCGGTGGGGGTGTGTCGTGCGTGCGGTGTCCCCCCCCGCCTGGTCCCGTGTGTTGTTGTGCGAGCGCGGGGCGGTGGCGGGGGCGGGGCGGCGGCGGGGCCGTACATAAGGCGGGGGCGGGCGAGGGGCCGCCCGTGGAGCGCAGCACCCGCGGAGCGATGGGGCAGCCGGGGGTGCCCCTGGCCCTGCTGGGGCTGGGGCTGTGCTGGGCAGCGGCGGCCGAGCGGCACACGGTGTTCTGGAACAGCTCCAACCCGCGGTGAGTGACCCCCGCCTCCCACCGGGACCCCCCCGCGAACGCGCACCGAGCCCGGCACCGGTCGCCCCGAGGGCGCGGGCGGCGCCGCTCCGCTCCGCTCCCCTCCCCGGCGGCCTTTGTGCGGGACGAGGTGGCGGGGCCGGTGCGGGGCCGTGCGGGGGGCGGCGGGGCCGGTCCAGGTGCGCCCGGGGGGGCCTTTCCGTTCCCAGGGCCGTGCGAAGGGGCCGCTTCCTTCCCGCGGGGGGGGCGCGGCGCCAGCCCCGGCGCCGGCCCCGGGGACCGTGTTGACAAACACGGGGCAGGATGGGCGGGGGGGTAGACCTGGATCGGGGCCCCCCGCTCACCGGCCGCCGGGGCTGCGGGGTGACCCCATCTCAAGCAACAGCCCTGCAGGTTCTGGGGGTCCCCCCCGGCCGCGGCCGTGACTCCCCCTGCTTGTAGAGGTGCATGAGCTCTCTCAGGCTCTAGGAGCGTCCCCCTTGGCTTTCAAGGAGCCCCCCACACTCTCCAGACCCCCAGGCTGTGGGGGTGCCCCCCCCACTCAGGCAGCCCTGGGGAGATTTTGGGCTTCCCCTCCTTCCCTGGGCTGAGTCGCTCCCTCCCCAGCTTCTGGGGGTTCTCCCCCCCGCCGTGCCCCCCACGGATGTCGGACTCCCCCAGATTGTAGGGCCGTGTCCTCTGTGCCCCCCCGCAGGTTTTTTGGGGTGGCTGTGCCCTCTCGAGGCCACCACAGCCGGCGAGGTGGGGACCCCGCGGAGGCCCCCGGCGTGCCCCCCCCGGGTGGGGTGTGGGGCGCAGCTGGAGCCGGGCTGGCTGCCCCACGGCGAGAGCCGCGACGCCTCCTGCTCCGGCAGCGCTGGGCCGGGCAGGGTGCGGGCAGGCTGCGCGTCCCAGCGGGTCCCCTCCCTGCTCCCCGGCTCTTGGGGAGCGCTGGGAAGTGGGGTGCGCTCACCACTCACCGCCGGGGGGCCGAGCCAGAGGGGGAGTGAAGGGGGGCTGCCCTTTCGAAGCTATTCCAGGTGCTGCAAGACTCAGCACAGGGGAGGGTGCACCCAAGGGTGCCCCCAGGCAGCGCTGGCGTGGCCGAGGTGCTGGCCCCCCTGGGTATGGGGGATTTGGGGGTGCAAGTAAAGCCCCTAACCCAGACCTGACCCCCCTGGCGACCCTCCTGGCGCAGGTTTCTGTGGAGTGACTACACGGTGGAGGTTCGTCTCAATGACTACCTGGACATTATCTGCCCCCACTACGAGGAGGGCAGCGTGGACCCCCGGGTCATGGAGCGCTACACGCTGTACCTGGTGGAGCTGGAGGAGTACCAGGCCTGCAAGCCCCGCTCCAAGGAGCAGATCCGCTGGGAATGCGACAAGCCCAGCGCCCTGCACGGCCCTGAGAAGTTCTCAGAGAAGTTCCAGCGCTTCACTCCCTTCACGCTGGGCAAGGAGTTCAGGGAGGGACACAGCTACTACTACATCTGTGAGTGCTGGGGGGCTGCGGGGGGTGCTCCGAGGTGCTGCAGGGATTCCCCATCGGGCTCCCCCCATCCCTTCCTAACGTGCCTCTCCCTTCACAGCCAAACCCATCCACCACCACGGTGAAGCCTGCCTGAAGCTGAAGGTGACGGTGACAGGCAAAGGCAGTGAGTATCACCACCCCCTCAGGGGCCCCCCCCGCGTCCCCTCCTTCCCAGCGTGGCCTTGGCTGCGCTGAGTCACGGCCTGGCCGTGGCCCCTGGCCAGCCCGGGGTGTGGGCACGCGCAGCTTGGCCAGGAAGGTGTTGGTGGGGGCGGGGAGGTGGGGGGACAGCCAACAGAGAAACGGGATTTTGGGATTTTGGGAAGGCTGGGGTGCTGCCCTTCCCTCTGTGACCCCCTGTTTGCTCCGCAGCTCCGGCACCGCCTGCCCCGGCCTCGACGCAGAAGGGGAGGATCCAGGCAGGTGTGTGGGGGGCTGTGGGTTGGGGCTGAGCCAGTTTCCCTTTCCGGGGTGACAGGGTGTTCTTGGGGGCACCAGGCTGAGCCTGGGGGGGAGGCAGGTGGGGGGCACTGGCCTGAACACAGCCACCCAGGGGTTTGTGGGGGGCATTGGGGCTCATCTGCCCCTCCTGGGGGCTCTGGAGCTGGCTGAAGTACCAAATCTGGCGGCAACCCTTTGCAGGGGTGATGTGCTGCTGGTTTGGGGTACAGTTTCTCTTCTGGGGTTGCTGGTTGCTGATGGCTCCTCTTTTCCCCCCGCAGACGATGCGGCCGCACACGTGCTGAGGAGCGTGGGGCAGAACTCGGCCATGCGCAGCAGCAGCCGCCCCTTCACCTTCATCAGCCTCCTGCTGCCCCTCCTGCTGCCGCAGGGGCTCTGAGCCGCCCCTCGTGCCCGGACCCACCGAGGCTGTGGCCATTGGGGACCCCAGTGGTCCCCGCACATCTGCCCCGGGTGCCCTGCCCTGCGCACATCTGGGCCAGGAAAGGATTTGTCAGTATTATGGGGCTGGAGGGCCCAAAGCCATCGGAGCAGCTGGAGCCTTCAGGCTTCCCTGGCCCTTCCAGGATGCTCCTGGCAGCCAGAGGCCGAGCGGGAGCCTGGAGCTGGAGGGGCTGAGGTGCCCCAGACTGGAGAGGGGCAGGGGGCTGGCACCCCTGCCCCGCAGCTGAGCTCGCCCACCGCCCTCGGGGCTTTCCCCGTGGTGGGCTGGAACTGGAATGTGTCCTGCAGGCGGGGACGTGGGGGTGGCCTGGTGACACCCGTGCAGGGGGCCACTAACCCCCCAGTGTCAGTGGCCTGGGAGCACAGACAGGCTGGAGACGCCCCGCAGCCAGGGGAGCGGGGTTAAGAGAAACATCCCACTCCTCAGTGCGCTGCACCCCTACCCCTTCCTTCATCCCCTGGCCCTTCCCCATCCCTCCCCTCCGCTGGGTGCCGGAGGGGCCCCCCAGCACCCCCTTTGTACAGCTTTCTAACACGGGACTTTTTTATACCATTGTTGGGAATAAATAACCAAAACCATGCTGAGCTCCTGAGACCTCCCCCACCCTCCTGGGCCAAGGCTCTCCTGGCCCCTGCGGGGGGTTGGGCTGGTTAATTAATTAATTGGCTGGTGTTTGCACGGGGCTGTTAAGTGGCGAAGTGCCACAGTGGCTGGCACTGTCCCCGGCTTTATCTGGTGACACAAAGGCCTGCCCTGAGGGTAGGGACCCCTCCCCCTGCACTGGAGGGAGCTTCCAGGTGGGGGGCAGCGGCTCCTGGGACAAACCCCGCTGGAATGTGACAGCCCCCGTGGGATGGGGCTGATAAATCCCACCGCTGGTGAGGAGGGGGCTTGGGCAGGGAACACAGCCTGGTTGCACCCCAGGGACCCCCACGGGGTAACCCCAGGGATGTGGGACCCCCGAGGGGGAGACACTGTGGGTGCAGCGAGCTGGGATCACAGGGATTTGGGGGCCCTGGAATTGGGAATTTCAGGGAGCGAGGGTCCTGGAGAGGTGAGATTTTGGGGTTCAGGGATGCATGACACCTGAATGTGGGGGACCCTAGAGATGGAGGTTTACGGAGAGGGGTCACAGGGATGAGTGACCCCAGCAGGATGTGTGGGGGCACCCTGGGACAGTGGGGTCACAGGGAAATTATTGTCACAGGGATGTGTGACCCCCAAGATTTGTGGGGGCACTCTGGGACAGTGAGGTCACAGGGAAATGTGGATCCCATGGCTGCAGGATCCTGGGGAATTGTGACAGAGATGAGTGACCCCCAGGATGTGTGGGGACACCCTGGGACAGAGGGGTCACAGGGAAATGTGGATCCCAGGGAAATTATTGTCACACGGATGTGTGATCCCCCAAGATGTGTGGGGGCACCCTGGGACAGTGGGGTCACGGGGAAATGTGGATCCCAGAGGAATTGTTGTCACAGGGATGTGTGACCCCCAGGATGTGTGGGGACACCCTGGGACAGAGCGGTCACAGGGAAATGTGGATCCCAGAGGAATTGTCGCAGCGATGTGTGACTCCTGCAGGAGGCGGGGGTGGGGAGCTGGGCTCACAGGGGTGTGAGACCCCCGTGCCGTGCAATCTGCACCACGGGGCTCACCCTGGGCCCCCAAACCTGAAGTGGGGCGCTCATTACCCGCCACCCTTGGGGTGCTCCCCCCCGCACCGGCCCCGGTGCCCTCCCGGTGCCCGCGGCAGGTCCCGCCGGTGCAGCCGGCGCCGCTCCCCCCGCTCGGAGCCGGATCCCCGCCGCCCCTCCCCGGTAGTGCGTCCCGCCCCGCCCCGCTCCGCTCCGCTCCGCCGCGGGCAGCGCCGGCCCCGCCGCGCTCCCGGTGTCCGGCATGGCCCTGTCGGTGCTCGCCGGTATCTGCCTGGCCGCCACCCTCGCCATGTTCGCCACCGGCCTGTGAGCGATCGGCGGCGGCGGCCCCGGGCGGGGCGGGGGCGATGCGGAACGCACCGGGGCCAGCTCGGGGCTGCACTGAGGGCCGGGGGCGGCGGGGGGCAAAGGGGGGACCCCAGGGCTGGTTTTGGGGTGCAGAGGGGGCCTTGGGGAGGGGATTTGTGGGTGCGGTGGGGCCATAGGGGATGAGGATGCAATGAAGACCCCAGGGTTGGTTTTGGGGTGCAGTGGGGGCCTTGGGGAGAGGGATTTGTGGGTGCAGTGAAGACCCCAGGGCTGGTTTTGGGGTGCAGTGGGGGCCTTGGGGAGGGTTGGGGGTGCAATAGTGAGGGCACCAGAGGCATTTTGGGGGTGCAGTGGAGGTCATGGAGGGACATTTGGGGGTAAATTAGGGAGGGTGTTAGGCCAGTTTGGGGGTGTAGTGGGGAGGGCAGTAGGGAGTGTAATGGGGACCATTAGTGTAATGGGCAGTTTGGGGGTGCAATGGGGGCCATGGGGGGGTGCAGTGGGGAGGGCACCAGGGTCAGTTTGGGAGTGCAATGGGGACCATGGGGGGGTGCAATGGGGAGGGTGGGGGGAGCACCAGGGTCACTTTGCGGGTGCAGTGGGCCATGGATGGCTGGTGCAGAGGGACTGGGGGTGGTGTGACTCCTGTTTTGGGGGTGCAGGGGGAGGGGAGTGGGGGGTGCAGTGCCTGCTGGCTGCAGAGACTGGAGCCCCCCAACCCCAGCACTGCCGGGCACCCAGGAGTGCTGCCCTCCGCCCTCCCCAGGTCTGACCTGCGCCAGATGTTGGCAACCAAGAGTGTGGAGAACATCCAGTTCCTGCCCTTCCTCACCACCGATGCCAAGTACAGCAGGGTCGGGTCCTGGGGCGGGGGGTCATATAGATTTGAGGGGCAGGGGGGATCCCCCAGGCTGCAGCCAAGTGCCTGTGCCATATCCCTGCAGCAACCTGAGCTGGCTGGGCTATGGCTGCCTGAAGGGGGACGGGACAGTGATCACCGTCAACGCCATCGGGGCAGCTCTGCAGACCCTCTACATCCTGGTGTATCTGTACTACAGCCCTGTCAAGGTGGGGCAGGGGCCTGGGGCGATGGGGAGGATGGGGGACCCTCACCTTGACGTCCCCCTGCTGTCCCTCCCAGCGCCCCGTGCTGCTGCAGGTCCTGCTGCTCCTGGCTGTGGTGGTCACTGGCTGTGGCTACTTCACCATCCTGGTTGACACAGGGACACGCCTGACACACCTGGGGCTCTTCTGCAGTGTCTTCACCATCAGCATGTACCTCTCACCGCTGGCTGACCTGGTGTGTGGGGCTTGGCAGAGCTGGGGCTTGCCAGCCCAGGCCCTGCCTGACGTTTGCTCCTGCAGGCCAAGGTTGTCCGGAGCAAGTCGACGCGGTGCCTGTCCTTCCCCCTGACCGTCACAACCCTTGTGGCCTCCAGCAGCTGGACACTCTATGGCCTGCAGCTCCATGATCCCTACATCACAGTGGGTTGGGGTGGTGGAACGCTGAGGGGTGCCATCCCATCCCACTCCATCCCATCTCATCATGTCCCAACCCATCCTACTCCATTGTATCCCATGTAGTCCCATCCCCATCCCACCCCACCCTGGCCTGCTTCACCTGCATTCCACCCTTCTCCATCCCATTCCATCCCACTCTATCTCATCCCATCCCATTCTGTTCTGTCTGCACCATTTCACCCCACTCCATCCCCATTCTACCCCTATCCCATTCCATCAAATCCTATCCTTCCCCATCCCCACCCCATTGCCATCCCATTCCCATCTCACCCCACTCCATCCCCATTCCACCCCTATTCCTATTGCCATCCCATCCTGTCCTTCCCTGTCCCCACTCCACTGCCATCCCATTCCACTCTATCCCATCCCAGTCTATCCTATCCTTCCCCATCCCCACCACCATCCCGTCCCATCTCATCCCATCCTATCCCATCCCATCCCATCCCATCCCATCCCCATCCTCACCCCCACCCCAATGCCATCCCATTCCACTCTATCCCATCCCCATGCCCACCCCACTGCCATCCCATCCCATCCCATCCCCATCCTCACCCCATTGCCATCCCATCCCATCCCATCCCCATCCTCACCCCACTGCCATCCCATCCCATTCCATCCCACCCCATTCCCCTGTCATGGCTCAGTTGAGCACTTGGCTTGGCCCCGTTCAGCACCGTCTGTGTCACCCAGCCAAGTGTGACAGGGCTCAGCATGATGACTATTGATTTTCATTAATTAGCTGGGATGGGGCCAATAAACCTCCCCCGGCACCATAGTGGGGAGGGGTACATCCACTGTCCCCCCATGTCCTCCCGCAGGTCCCCAACGTGCCAGGGATCGTCACCAGCCTCGTGCGGTTCTGGCTCTTCCAGCGGTACAGGCCAGAGCAGGACAAGCCCTACAGCGCCCTGCCCGCCTGAGGGGGCCCCTCAGGAGCACCCCAACTCTGGCCTGGGCTGGCCCCACCGCTGTCCCCTCGGCCACTCCCAGTGGGACACCAGGAAGGACCTCCTGCCTCCAGCCCTGCATCCTTCAGCGAAGGCCCTGGAGCTCTCAGCGAATCCTTTGGGGTACCACAAGCCCCTCAAACCCCAGGGTGGGAGGAAAGTTTTCCATGCCTATGGCCCTGCCTGGCAGCAGGATTTTGAGGGGCAGGGCTTTTGAGTGGCTTCCAGGGGTCCACGTGTCACTTTTGTATGGATTCAAGTGCCTTTTAATAAATCACAGACTTCCCAGCGCCTGCTTCTTGTACCTCCCTCCTGCTGCAGAGCATGGTACAGCTCTTCCCATCCTCACCCCACTGCCATCCCATCCCATCCCATCCCATCCCCATCCTCACCCCATTGCCATCCCATCCCATCCCATCCCACCCCATTCCCCTCTCATGGCTCAGTTGAGCACTTGGCTTGGCCCCGTTCAGCACCGTCTGTGTCACCCAGCCAAGTGTGACAGGGCTCAGCATGATGACTATTGATTTTCATTAATTAGCTGGGATGGGGCCAGTAAACCTCCCCCGGCACCATAGTGGGGAGGGGTACATCCACTGTCCCCCCATGTCCTCCCGCAGGTCCCCAACGTGCCAGGGATCGTCACCAGCCTCGTGCGGTTCTGGCTCTTCCAGCGGTACAGGCCAGAGCAGGACAAGCCCTACAGCGCCCTGCCCGCCTGAGGGGGCCCCTCAGGAGCACCCCAACTCTGGCCTGGGCTGGCCCCACCGCTGTCCCCTCGGCCACTCCCAGTGGGACACCAGGAAGGACCTCCTGCCTCCAGCCCTGCATCCTTCAGCGAAGGCCCTGGAGCTCTCAGCGAATCCTTTGGGGTACCACAAGCCCCTCAAACCCCAGGGTGGGAGGAAAGTTTTCCATGCCTATGGCCCTGCCTGGCAGCAGGATTTTGAGGGGCAGGGCTTTTGAGTGGCTTCCAGGGGTCCACGTGTCACTTTTGTATGGATTCAAGTGCCTTTTAATAAATCACAGACTTCCCAGCGCCTGCTTCTTGTACCTCCCTCCTGCTGCAGAGCATGGTACAGCTCTTGGCCCTGCAGCTGCTTTGGGAACTCCTTGTGGCCAACCAGGGGGGCTGCTTATGGCCAAACAGGGGCTACTTTTTTTGGGGGGGGCTCATTCTGACATTCTGACACACCCTGGGCTCTGGCAAACCCTCAATAGGCATCAGCCCTGGTGTTGGGGCCACGAGGGGACCCCAGGGAAGCCAGCACAGCTCTGAGCACCCTGAGGGAGCCTCCCATCACAGTGTGGGGGTAAAAGTCTGTGTAAATGATGAGCAGCCACCATGGCAGAACCTGGGAATCGATGGGAATCCTTGCTAAACCCCCGTGGATCGAGCAGGCCTGGATCAAGCATCAATGCTCTGTCAATTAACCAATTAACAGCGATGTGGAATGAAGATATCAGGCTGGTGCCTTGGTGGAGGGGCCAAATCACACAGCAGACACCAGAGCCTTGCAGAAAGAGACCCCTACCCCATGGAGGACCCCCCCAGGACCGAGGAGCCTCATCCCACACTCCCCCCATGAGGAGACCCCAGGGAAGCCAGCACTGCTCTGAGCACCCTGAGGGAGCCTCCCATCACAGTGTGGGGGTAAAATTCTGTGGAACTGATGAGCAGCCACCATGGGAAACTGTGGCAGCAGCTTTCTGGTCACAGAGAGCGACAGGAATCGATGGGAATCCTTGCTAAACCCCCGTGGATCGAGCAGGCCTGGATCAAGCATTGATGCTCTGTCAATTAACCAATTAAGAGTGATGTGGAATGAAGATATCAGGCTGTGCTTCCTCCCAGTGGAGGGACCAAATCACACAGCAGACCCTGGAGACTTAGAGACCCTCACTCCATGCAGGACCCCCCCAGGAGCGAGGAGCCTCATCCCACACTCTGGCCAGATGACACCATCAGGATGAAGGACGCTGGCAGGAGCTGTGCTGTGCCTGTGCTGCTTGTGCACACCTCACACACAGCCTGGAAAAATCCATATAAAGGGACAGAGCTGAGCGTGGTGCCAAGGGAAGGAGGACGAGCTCCTGGCGTGCTCTGTCTTGCCCTGTGGAGCCGGGGCTCCCCGTGCCTGCTCTGGCTGCTCCCAGGACTTGGCCCAGCAGGGAGGAGCCCCCCGACCTCGGGAAAAGCACTCCCAGCCTGGCCCCACAGCCTCGAGAAAGGGCTCCCACACCTCAGGAAAGGGCAGCTTTCTCCACTGCCACACCTTGGCTGCCAACCGGTCGCTCCAGCTGCCCCGTGCCGGGAGCGCTGGTGACGTGGCCCCTCGTGCCAGCTCCCGGATCTTCCACGCAGGGAGGAGCTGCTGCCACACGGGCTGGGAGGAGCTCCTCATGGCCGTGAGTACAGGCTCTGCATCGCCCTGAGCAGCCCCTGGATGACCATAAGTAGCCTCTGGATGACCATAAGTAGCCCCTTGAAGGCCATAAGTAGCCCCTTGAAAGCCATGAGTACAGGCTCTGGATTGTCATGAGTAGCCTGCACAGGGTCATGGGTAGCTCACACATGGCTGTGAGTAGCCCCTAGATGACCACAAGTAGCCCCTGACGGTCCTGAGTAGCCTGTCAGTAGCCCCTGATGGCTGTAAGTAGCCCCTGAGGGGCCACAAGGAGCCCCTGAGGGACACAAGTAGCCCCTGGATGGCCACAAGGAGCCCCTGGATGGCCACAAGGAGCCCCCTGCTTGGCTGTCAGTAGCCCCTGATGGCCATGTGTAGCCCCTGGATGGTCACAAGGAGCCCCTAGCTGGCTGTCAGTAGCCCCTGAGGGCCACAAGTAGCCCCTGGATGGAGCCAGGTTGCCATGAGTAGCCTGCAGAGTTAGGAGTAGCCCCTGAATGACCACAAGTAGCCACTGGATAGACACAGTAGCCCCTTAAATGACCATGAGGAGCCCTTGGTTGGCTGTGAGTAGCCCCTGATGACCCTGAGTAGCCCACAGAAGGCTGTCAGTAGCCCCCAGAGCACTGCTGTGGTCCTGGCCCCATGTGGCCAAATCCAGGGCAATGTCACCCCCCCTCCCAACCACTCATGTGCCAGCGAGCTTCCCACTCTGCTCCCACCAGCCTTTGCTGCTCAGGAAACAGCTAATTAGCTGCTCCTGCTAATTAACCCGAGTCCTCCCTCCCGCTCCCAACTGCTCCTTTCTGCAGAGCATACACAGCTGCTAATTAAAATCCCAAAGTCCAGGGCAGCAGGTTCCTGCACACGGGGTCAGAGAGCAGAAATGGGGGTCCCCAGACAGAGCCCCCCACCCCTCCCTCTTCCCAGTGAAGCCCAGCGTGGTGCTGTGGATGGGCAGAGGAGTTGGGGGAGCTCCCCTGGAGCTGCTGGGGGGGCGGTGGGGGACACCATGCTGCCATTTAAAGGCTGTGTCGCCTGCCCCACCCCACCAGTCCCTCTCCTCCTTGCCGGGAACTCGGCCAGCGGGACGGGATGAGGCTCCTGCAGCTCCCACCTGCCGGGGTGAGCCACATCTGAGCCGGGAATGTGTCTGGGGCACGGCCCCGGTGCCGCATCCCGCTCCAGAGCAATTCCAGAGAGCTCAGCGAGGGGCAGCAGCAGCTCCGGGGGGGTTTGCATGGGGACCCTGCCCTTCACAGAACCCCCAAAACCACACACACCAAGAGCTGAGCGACCCCCTGGGAGAACCAAGTGACTCCTCCAGATGCCTTCCAGCAGGGCTCTCAATGGACAGGGCATAGAGACCCTGCCCTTCACAGAAACCGCAAACCCTCCCCACACACTGCCCAGAGCTGAGTGATTCCCCTGGGAGAACCAAGTGACTCCTCCAGGTGCCTTCCAGCAGCACTCGAGGCTCTCAGTGGACCCACATGCCCTTCACAGAACCCCCAAACCCTCCCCACACACTGCCCAGAGCCGAGTGGTTCCCCTGGGAGAACCAAATCATTCCAGAGCTGAGTGATTCCCCTGGGAGAACCTAGTGACTCCTCCAGGTGCCTTCCAGTAGCCCCCAAGCTCCCAGTGGACCTACATGAAGACCCTGCCCTTCACAGAACCCCCAAACCCTCCCTGCACCCCCACCTCACACCACCCAGAGCCGAGTGATTCCCCTGGGAGAACCAAATCATTCCAGAGCCGAGTGATTCCCCTGGGAGAACCAAATCATTCCTCCGGGTGCCTTCCAGCAGCCCCCGAGGCTCGCAGTGCCCGCAGCCTCGTCCCCGCCGTGTCCCGGGGTCACACACAGCACGGCCAGCACCGTCCGGGCCTTTATTGCGCTCCGAGGCGCAGCCCCCGCCGCCGCAGGTCGGCCCTCGCCGCCCTGATGTGCTCCTGCAGCTCGGCCGCCGCCTCCTCGCAGTCGTTGAAGGTGGCCAGGCGGTAGCCCACGGTGGCCAGGGAGTAGCAGCCGAAGGCCACGAGCAGGTAGACGGGCAGCGGCAGCAGCGCCTGGCGGAGCGGGGCTGGCGGCTGCAGCCCCGGCGGGGCCAGAGCCAGCGCGGCCCAGGCCGAGCCCAGCAGGGCGAGTCCACAGAGCCACTGCGCCAGCTTGGTCATGGCGGCCTGAGGGGACAGGGGGAGGAGGAGAGTGGGAGACCCGTGAGAGGAACAGGGGAGAGAAGGAAGGAGGAGGGAACCGGGAGAGACGGAGCGCCCCGCACCGGGCCCAGTCTCCCCCGGCAGAGTGGCCCCAATTCCCCCTGGGCCTCCACCCGCCGGACTGAGCCCTCCCCACAGACCCGGACCCGGACCCGGACCCGAACCCGAACCCGGGCCCAGCCCCACCCCCACCTGCCTCGGTCCCGCTCCCGGTGCCGGTCCCGCTCCCCGCCCGGCGCCGCGATGACGTCACAGCAGCGCCGCGCGCGAGGGCTGCCGGGAATTGTAGTTCTGCGGCGCGATGGCAGAGCGCGCCCCCTGCTGGCGGGGCGCGGCAGCACCGGGAGCTCCCCGGGAGCCCCGGTCCGGCCCCGCTCCCGGTGCCGCAGGAAGCGCCGGGCTTTGTCGGCCGCCGCCGGGGCCGCAGGAAGCATCTGGTTTCCTCCACGTCCGGCCGGAGGGGTGCCAGGGACCCGGCGTGGGAGCGAGTCCCGCCCGCCGTCCCACGGCTGCGGGAACCGCGCCGTTCCCTCCCCCCCTCCCCAGCCGGGCAGCCCCGGTGCCCCCCCGGTGCAGTGCGGAGGGCACAGACGAGTGTGTGGTGCCCTGCCAAAGGCAGCAGGCTGAGCTGTGCCAGCGCAGCAGCTGGGGCTGGACCCCCACAGCCCCCTGCCCGCTCCAGTCTGCTCCAATCCTGGCTCCAGTGGCATCTTCCTCCCTTGCAGGGCTGGGCACACGAGATGCCAGCAGCACATCTCCCACCCTTGGCCACCCTCCCCTCCCCTGGGCAACCCAGAACCTACCCCAGGCTCCAGGGCCACTTCCAGCCACCCTGGCACACAGCAGGGCCAGGAACTGGGCTGGCAGCTGGCACAGGGGACAAGAAGCTACAAAGAAATGGCTTTATTGGGCAGGGGGGAGTCCCGGATCGGCCGCAGGGAGGGGGCTGCCCCAGGAAGGGGCAGCAGGACATCAATTTCTCTTCCTGCCCTTGCCAACAGCCTTGGCAGGGGGAGCGACGGGCGCTGTGGACTGGTAGAGAGTGGAGGAGATCTTGTTGATGTAGTAGAGACCCACCATGGAGAAGATGAGGCTACGGGGGCAGAAGGGAAGAGGCTGCTCAGCTGCTGGGGCAGCGACATGCCAGGCTCACCCCAACACCTTGCCCCTGGCTCCCACTCCCCTATAAACCAACAATTCCCGTTGGATTCCATTGTGCTGCCCTTCCTAAACCAACAATTCCCATTGGATCCCACTCCCCTGCCCTTCCTAAACCAATAATTTTCCCTTGGATCCCACTCCCCTACCCTTCCTAAACCAACAATTTCCCCTTGGATCCCACTGTGCTGCCATTCCTAAACCAACAATTTTTCCCTGATCCCACTGTGCTGCCCTTCCTAAACCAACAATTTCCATTGGATCCCACTCCCCTGCCCTTCCTAAACCAGTAATTTTCCCTTGGATCCCACTCCCCTGCCCTTCTTAAACCAACAATTTCCATTGGATCCTACTCTCCTGCCCTTCCCAAACACTTTCCTCTCAGATCCCACTGTGCTGCCCTTCCTAAACCAACACTTTCCCCCTGGATCCCCCTCCCCTGCCCTTCCCAAACACTTTCCCCTTGGATCTCACTCTCCTGCCCTTCCTAAACCAATAATTTCCCCCTGGATCCCCCTCTCCTGCCCTTCCTGACCACCCTCCCTCAGACCCCACCGTGCTGCCCTTCCCACCAGCCCCCTGATGCTCCCTGCCCAGCCTCCTGCCCCCCTCCTGGTGTCCCCACAGACCCCTCGGTGTCCCCTCAGCCACTCCCACCCCCCAGGGCAGCCCTGCACCTACCAGGTGGTGACACAGACCCCTGGGTGTCCCCCATGACCCCTGGGTCTCCCCTCAGCCTCTCCCACCCCCCAGGGCAGCCCTGCACCTACCAGGTGGTGACACAGACCCCTGGGTGTCCCCCATGACCCCTGGGTCTCCCCTCAGCCTCTCCCACCCCCCAGGGCAGCCCTGCACCTACCAGGTGGTGACACAGACCCCTGGGTGTCCCCCATGACCCCTGGGTCTCCCCTCAGCCTCTCCCACCCCCCAGGGCAGCCCTGCACCTACCAGGTGGTGACACAGACCCGGTGGATGAGGCCAGATGCGAACAGGGCCAGCAAGAGGCAGGTGAGGACTGCGGAGAACCAGGAGACACACGATGCTCACGGGGGGCTCTGGCTGCAGCAGAATTTCCCCCAGCCCCAGGAAAAGCTCAAGAGGAGCTGCCACAGTTCCAGGGCAGGGCTGGGACCACCAGTGCCACTCCTGGAGCACCCCCAGCCCTCTGCAGTGTCCTCGCTCCCCTCCTGGGCTCCCACAACACTTACTCTCAGGGAATATCTTGGCCTGGAAGCCCTTCCCAAAGATGAGGTTCTCCAGGTTGTTGAAGGCCTGCGTGTGGAGTTAAGGGACACAACGGGATCCTGCTGTCCTGCTGCCCTCATGTCCCACCCTCCCTGCGCCCTGGAAGGTGTTGGGGCCAGTTTGGGGTGCAATGGGGTCATGGGGGGTGTAATGGGGCCCAGTTTGGGGTGCAATGGGGTCATGGGGGTGTAATGGGGGCCAGTTTGGAGGTGCAGTGAGTGCCATTGCAGGGTGTAATGGGGAGGGCATCAAGCCCAGTTTGGGGGTGCAGTGAGTACCAAAGGGGGTGTAATGGGGAGGGCAGCAGGCCCAGTTTGGGAGTGCAATGGGGACCATAGGGGGGTGCAATGGGGACCAGTTTGGAGGTGCAGTGAGTGCCATGGGGGGTGTAATGGGGAGGGCAGCAGGCCCAGTTTGGGGGTGCAATGGGGTCATTGGGAGGGGGCAATGGGGAGGGCATCAGGCCCAGTTTGGGGGTGTAATGGGGGCCAGTTTGGGGGTGCAAGGGGGCTATAGGAGGGTGCAATGGGAAGGACATCAGGCCCAGTTTGGGGGTGCAATGTGGATGGCAGCAGGGGGCTGTTACAGGGGCTGCCCCCACCACCCCCGTGGCGCTGTTCCCAGCCCCCCGTGCCCTGCGGCCCCTCTGCTGTGCCCAGGGATGCCGTGAGGGAGCAGACGAAGAGCGCCGAGCCCAGCAGCCCGCCCTGGATGGTGAGCCACTCGGTGGAGGCCAGCTGCCGGCTGTACATCTGCATCCCGGCGAACAGCAGCAGCGACAGCAGCGACGACAGCGCCAGCGACGTGCCCGTGCCTACGGCTGAGCCCCGGGGCCGGCTCACACCGGCACCGGCACCGGGGCTGAGCTCAGGGCCGTGCCCTGCCTCCCTTCTCCCGGTGCAGCTCCCGTTAACGCCGTGCCCCCGATATCGTCCTGGCCTGTGACACCTCCATTCCCTCTCCCCGGGACCCCCAACTCCCGTTAGCCCAGTTTGCGCCCCCCCGTTACCCATGGTGCCCCCAGCCCGTCCCGGTGCCGCTCCCGGTGCCGCCGTTCCGCGCATGCGCGCTCCGCCCAGCGCGCAGCAGAGACACGGCAGCAGCGCCGGGCTGCGCCTCTACGCATGCGCGAGAGGCCCCGCCCCTCCCAGCGCGCTCCCTGGCGGCCCGGGAGTGGCACTGCAAGTCCGCGCCGTCCCGGAGCGCCCTCTGGCGGCGGGGACGGGAACAGCGCGGGGACGGGACCCCCGCACCGGGACCGGGACCGGCACCGGGACCCCCTCGGGAGCACCCCCGGGACCACCGCCGGTACCGGTGCCATGCTCATCCTGCCCGCAGCCCGCCCCCGGCGCCGCTCCCAGAGCGTCGCTCCTCGGGAAATGCTCGGTGATGCAGCGAGAGCATCCCCGCTCCACCCCCCCTCACCCCCACACCGGTGCCGCCCCTCCGGTGCCTCCACCGCCCTCCGGTGCCGGCGGGGCGGGCGCCGCCGAGCATGCGCGCCGCCACCCCCCGCCCTCCCCCCGGCTCCGCCGCTCCCTGCAACACACCGGGGCGATCGCGGCCGCCGCTGCCGCCGCCGCAGGCACGGGCGCGGGTAGCGGAGCCATGGCCGAGGGCGAGGACCTGCAGACCTTCACCTCCATCATGGACGCGCTCGTCCGCATCAGCGTGAGCGGCCGCGGTGGCGGCGGGGGGGCGGACGGGGGTCCTCCGGGACCGGGTCGCCGTGGCAACGCGGCGGGGACTGGGGGGGAGGGCGATGCCCTTGAGGGGTGGGCGGGCAGCGGACCCGCACCCCGACTCACCGCAGCGACCCCCGGGGAGGGCTGTCCGTCATCGGGACCCCCCCACACCGAGCCGTGGTCGAGCCGGAGCACCGGGTGCGGAGAGGGCGGTCCCATCCCGGCCCCGATCTTGGTGGCCAGCCCGGTCCTGGCGCTGGTCCCAGCGGCGGGGCCGGTCCGGGCTGTGCTGTGGGTCCAGCCTCAGTCCCCATCCCAGCCCCCATCTCCATCCTGGCCCCCATCTCCCTCTCCATCCCAGTTCCAACCCCACACCCATCCCAGTTCCCATCCCAGCTCTGGGCCCATCCTGGCACTATTCCCAGTGCTGGTCCTCATCCCCATCCCAGCCACCATCCCCATCCCAGCCCTGGGCCCATCCTGGTGCTGATCCCAGTGGCGGCCCCATCCCTGCCAGTCCTGATACTGGTCTGATCCTGGCCCCAGCCCCAGTCCCATCCCCACACCAGGCCTGGGTCCCATCCAGGTTCTGATCCCAGTCCTGATCCTGGTTCTGACCATGCTGCTGCTCCCAGGCCTGATCTTGGCCATGATGCTGGTCCCTGTCCTCATCATCCCCCCATTCCTGCTCCTGATACTGGTCCTCGTTCTGCTGCTGCTCCCAGGCCTGATCCTGACCATGATGCTGGTCCTGCTGCCAGTGCTGACCCCAGTCCTGGTCCTGCTGTGGCCCCAGTTCCCATCCCCAATCCAGCCCTGGGCTTCATCCTGGTGCTGGCCCGGCATTCCTCAGACTGCTCCCAGACCTGATCCTGGCCCTGCTGCTGATCCCAGCTCCATTCCTCATCGCAGTGGCAGCCCTGATCCTCATCCTGCTGCTGGTCCTGCTGTTTGTCCTCATGCCGTCCCTGGTGCTGGTCCCAGGCCCCATCATTGCCCTGATGATGGTCCCAGTCCTTGTCTCCATCCCAGCCCAGGTCCCAGTACTGGTCCTGATCCTGGCCCTGGTGCTGATCCTGGCCCTGTTGTTAATTCCAGGCCCTGGTGCCAGTCCCAGCTGTGATACTGGTGCTTAACCCATCCCTGATGCTGATTCTGGCCCAGGTGCTGGTCCCAGGCCCTGATCCCAG